ATCATTGGCAAAAACACTAAAAACTTCCTTAACCTCTGAAACCTCATTGCAAGCCAAGTCATTTGTCCCTAGATGAACAAGTACATCCAATTCCCCTTCCTGCTTTGCTTGCTTAACAATATTACAGATACGTCTCCTGTCTCTTTGAGCAGTAGCTCCGGGAAGACACCTCACAAGACCACCATTGTCCATCTCCACACCTCTTATAATGGAATCCCCCAACAACAACTACTTTCTATTAGGCCTCACCATAGTCTCCAAGCCGGTCTCCACAACACCACTAGTCTCAGTGCCTCTCTCCACAACACCACTAGCCTCAGTGCCTCTCTCCACAACACCACTAGTCTTAGTGCCTCTCCTCACAACACCACTAGCCTCAGTGCCTCTCTCCACAACACCACTAGTCTTAGTGCCTCTCTCCACAACACCACTAGCCTCAGTGCCTCTCTCCACAACACCACTAGTCTTAGTGCCTCTCTCCACAACACCACTAGCCTCAGTGCCTCTCTCCACAACACCACTAGCCTCAGTGTGTCTCTCCACAACACCATTACACTCTGAAAGTGCAAAAAATTAATTATGAAGAGCAACAGACTGTGCAAAATGCCTTTTACCCACAACTCTAAGTCTACCAGATCTTACAGTAATCCATCTGCCTTTCCTAGTATGTCTCTGCGGCAGTGGCTTTGCAGCAGTTCCAGTCTGAGTTTGTTCACCAGATAATTTACAAATCTCAGACTTCAAAAATACAATCTCCTGCCGCAAGATAGAGAACTGTCTACAGATTAGACAACAACCAAACCTCCAAAAGGTGGAACGTGAAACAAATGCATAGCAATTGTTACACTGAACTAAGTCTGCCATTCCAATTAGGAGAATAATTTAAATCTAACAAATCTTAACTTTGTATTTATCCTCCTGAATACCTCAGATTACCTCCAGGTTATCTCCAGAATATCTCCAACTACACACTTAGAAGCAACACTCTCCAGAATATCTCCAACTACACACTTAGAAGCAACACTCTCCAGAATATCTCCAACTACACACTTAGAAGCAACACTCTCCAGAATTTCTCCAACAACACACTTAGAAGCAACACTCTCCAGAATATCTCCACTTAGAAACAGCACTTAGAAGTAGCACCAAGCTATATTAGCCAAGCTAATGACAACAAGCCTTATATAACTCCTAAAATCACCACCCACTAGGAATGTTTAACACCTGGGTAGGCCTCTGCTTATTTGCAAACAATAGCTAATTAACCAGCAATCAATAGCAAGTAACTAGCTTAATCAAATCAAATGCCTTATAATTACCAACAGGAATACAAACCTTGTGCAATCAGTAACCTTTTCCTACAGATGAATCTTACCTGTAACAGTAGAAAAGAAAGCTCTTAGCACAACTCTTAGACATCCATACTACTTTTGTGAGCTTCCATTCATTACACAAAGTTTAACTGGACAAAGTTTATTCAATTATGTTATTCCTAGTTTGTGGGTACAATTCTGATCATACACACGTTGTAGGGATAATTGTAGAACAAAATATGAAAAATAATATGTTGTGAAAATTATGAAAAATGTATAATTGTATTAATATTTAAAAATAATATGTCTGACAACATCCCCTGGCCTCCAAGTTCAGGATTGCAATGTGTCATGGATGTATTGTCCACTGTAAAGAAAGGAAGACATACAGGGCCGGATTAACATAGGGGCTGATGGAGCTGCAGCTCCAGGCCCAGGCCCATGGAATAGGCCCATTGATTTATAAAAAAAAAAAATATATTTTTTACATTTTTTTTTCCACACACTACTCTTAGGGATTCCACCTGGCTTTTATTTTATTGGCACAGTATTTGAGGCTGCCTGGCTGGTGCCAATATTACAGTGATACTGGCAATACAAATGCTGGTATTTTTCTCAGTATAAACAAGAGATTACTATGCAATACCAGCACTGGCCAGTAGGGGTCACTGTGTGTGTGGAGAGAGGCAGGGATAGGAAGTTCCAGCATATCCCTCCCTGCCTATCTATACTCACTGATCTGCAGGGGTGCAGCTGCAGAGAGTCCAGACAGCAACTCCCACCCTGCAGAGACAGCCTACAGCTCAGGGAAGTAAGGGATGGGGGGAAAGGCTGCAAGGAGACATACACTGAGACACTAAGGGACATTGGGAGACATTATGACACAGACACAGTCTTCCAGTGTCCCCATGTCTCCCAGCCAGTGTCCCTGGTGTCTCAGTGCCCCCTAGTGTCCCAGTGCCCCCAGTCTTCCAGTGTCTCACTGTCCCAATGTCTCCTAGTGCCTCCATGTCTCCCAGTGCCTCAAGTGTCTCAATGTCCCATTGTCTCCAAGCTAGTGTCCCTAGTGTCTGTGGCCCTGGTGTCTCCTTGTCCCCATGTCTCAATGTCCCCATGTCCCCCAGCCAGTGTCTCTAGTGTCTGTGTCCCTGGTGTCTGTGTCCCCATGTCTTCAAGTGTCCCCTATTTTCCCAGTGTCCCCATGCGTCCCAGCCAGAGTCCCCTAGTCTCCCAGTGTCACTGGTGTCTCTGTGTCCCTAGGTCTCCCCGTGTCCCCAGGTCTTCCTGTCTTCCTAGTGACATGGGGACCCTGGGATACATGGGGACACAGGGAGATATGGGGCATTGAGACACTGTGATACATAGGATCATTGGGAGACCTGGGGACACGACACTAGGGGACACTGGGAGACATGGGGTACTGAGACACTGATACATAGGAACACTGAGACCTGGAGTAATCGACACATGGGGCACTGGGAGACATGGGGCCACTGGGAGGAATCCATCTATACAGCAGAATCAAACTAAGTAGTTTTTTGGTGATTTTACAGCATTTTCTCTTATGTCACTCCTTGTGATTTACATCATGTCATGTCACCCATACATATTTAATTATGCAAACTAGCAAGGCCGGTATGTTTTTCCAAGAAAGGTGGCAACTCTAACTACTTTTCACATATCCTTACTTAAGTATGGAAACTTAAGAGGGATGTATTGGAACAAAACTTGTGTGGACTGGCTGACAATGAATATAGTTAAAGGGACACTAGGGTCACCAGAACAACTACAGCTTATTGAATTTGTTCTGGTGAGTAGAATCATTACCTTCAGGCTTTTTGCTGTAAACACTGTCTTTTCAGAGAAAATGCAGTCTTTACATTACAGCCTAGTGTACTCAGCCAATCCTATGGGTAAGCACTGTGAGTGGATTAGGCCACCACTTCTAATGATGTCAGCAGACTGCTTGTTTTTCTGAGTCTAACAGCATGCAGAGTTACAGCTTCAGGCTTGAATACAGTAAGATTTTGCTATATTTATGGAGGTATGAGGGGCCCAGGGGGGCTAGATGGTGGTGTTAACACTATAGGGTCATGAATTCATGTTTGTGTTCCTGACCCTATAGTGATCCTTTAAGGTAATGCTGACTTTGGTCTCTCTAACAATGTGCTTCTACACTCACTACATACAGCTTTTCTCTGTCCCAGACTATATACCAGGAGCTTCTGCCTGCTAGTAAGAAGGTAAAGAGACAAGTGGACCAGCAAATGCTAGGGGACAGTCCTTAGAAAGCGTTGAGCGAGCGCATCATTAGATGCATTTATGCCAAGCTCAGGGTGCTGTCTGCATAGTATGCCCTTAGTTGGCCAGTTGCATGATTGGCAGGCAGCCTGACATGCATTCATGCCAGGCTGGCCTTCTAATTCTTTGGGCAGACATGTCCTCTTTTTGGGCATGTTCGCCCCTTTTGGCAGGTTACATGATTTGTGTCAGTGGCACACTTTTACCGTGCCCATTGACTTCCTGCTTGACTGGACACTGCTGTTATGGATTTACTTGAAAGATGAAAACATAAATTAGTGAGAGATTAGCCTAGGGCAGTGATGGCGAACCTATGGCATGCGTGCCACAGGTGGCACGCCGGGCCCTTTCTGTGGGCACGTGGCCACAGGTTCGCCATCAATGCAGAGTAGGCACCTGCCTGCCCGAAACGGCAGGCGCCTACTCTGCTTCCGGGTCGGGAGGCAGGGGGAGAGATCTGTGAAGCAGCTCCCCTGTCCTCCCGCGCGATGCTGTGTAGAGCGTTGCCGCGTGTTACCATGGCAATGCTCCACACAGCATTGCGCGGGAGGACAGGGGAGCTGCATCACAGATCCTTCCCCCTGCAGTGCTTACCACCACCGGACCACCAGGGATGGCTGTGCCCCCCCCCACTTCATTAAAGGTAAGAAGGAGGGAGGGGGTGTATACTGACACACAGCACCCTTACCCCCCCAGAAGTAACCCTACCCCCCAGCACCCCTACCCCCCCAGCAGT